TGTCAATCATTATGTCACATTTTTCGGGCAAAGTAGCATTATTCAGAAAATTAAGGGAGAATATATTAATTAGTTTGCCAAAAAAAGTTGACCGTATTTCGGTTGTGAATCAAGAAATCAAGCAATTGGAAGAATTGAAAATTGAGGAGTTGCTCGGTTCATCAAAATCATTTGATTGAAGATTGAATTGACACTCCGAAAAATCATCCGATAATCCGTTTCAATCAAAGCTAAATGTTGGACCCAAGAACTGTTGGAGTATAGAGGCCAAAATAGACAGCAGGGAAATGCAACAAAAGGCGGCAATCAAAGAAGCTAAAGAAGAAGAAAAGTTAGCTCAAAGTTAGTTAAAGTTCATTAGCTCAAAGTCAGATAAAATTAGTTATTCCATTCTGTTAGAGTTCGGTTAGTTTGTTTAACATCAATTAATTGCCCCTCTGTGTATATATATAGCTGCATATTGTATTTTTCCCAATTCATTCGATCAATTCATTCAATAAAGAACATATAATTTTTCTCATTTATCTTCTTCAATTCACCATTCAAAAATTCACATGGTATCAGAGATTTACTGAGATCCATCCGCAAGCCATCTGTTTTTGCTAGAATTGATCGTCTCCTCTCAATCACTAATTCAATTATCTGAATATGAGTTATCATAACTCCTCTGTGAATCCGCCTGCACCTGCAAACTTGAGTAATTCTGGTGGAAATCCTTCAGATGACTCCTCCCGCCCCTACTATCTGCATCCTAGTGAAAATCCCAGTGCAATGCTGGTTTCTGAAATCTTCAATGGAAACAACTACGTTGTTTGGAGCAGATCTATAACTATTGCCTTGACTGTGAAAAATAAGGTAAAATTTATTGATGGTTTGATCTCTCCTCCCTCCACTGATCAACTAATCAATCACACGGCTTGATTAAGAGCTACTAATCAGGTGCTCTCATGGCTGATGAATTACATCTCAAAGGAGATACGCAACAGCCTTCTGTTCGTCACCTCAGCAACAGATCTCTGGAATGAATTAAAAGTTAGATACCTTAGAAGTGATGGTCCAAGGGTATTTCATCTGGAAAAATCCCTAAGCAGCATACATCAAGGATCAACGTCTGTGACTGAGTACTTCAGCTCATTCAAAACTCTGTGGGATGAATACATCAATTACAGGCCATTTCCTACCTGTACTTGTGGAGTTATGGCAACCTGCACCTGTGATTTACTTACCTTCTTGCAGAATCGCCAACAATCTGACTATGTATTGAAGTTCTTGGTTGGATTAAATGATTCTTTCGCCTCTGTCAGGAGCCAACTGTTGCTTACAGTTCCTCTACCTAGTATGGGAAAGGTATTTTCTCTACTGCTTCAAGAGGAAAGCCAGAGGTTACTAACTACTCATCATCACATGTTGAGACTCATGCCTTGAT